TACAATCTGCGCGGCCAGTCGTCTACCGCAGCACGAACGAGGTCCATGTCAATATCGGCGGCTGCCTTAATCAAGGATGTCTTGAGTGAGTCCAAATTGGGATGAGGCTTTGAGCACGCCTTTTCCTCCAAGTGTTGCCATATCTTGTAATCTAACGGATTCAAATCTGGACTGGAGGAGGGCCAGTCTTCGTGCCGGATGAAGTCGATTTCACGCGCCGCCAGCCAGTCTTGTGTGCTCTTCGCTCTATGAGCTGGCGCNGCTGCTGCGACGCTAGCGTAGGTCTTAGCTTCGCATGGCTGCTTATTTTTTGCGACCTCAATCACTGTTGCATTAACGGCCGCCACATTCCCCGCAATATTGTCGAGTTTCTCATCAAGAATTATTTGGGATCGATGAGCGATCCTGACACCCTCTGTTGTGTGGTCAATGGCCGCTTTAGCGTCATCGATTTTATTGCCAATCTTGCGAACCATGTCGGCGCAGTCATCATTTTGAAGCCTGATTTGGTCGTCGAAGCATGCTAGCATCCTACTTTCCAACTCATTCAGTCGCTTTTGTACCAGGTTTTCCACTTCCCCCAACTTTTCTAAGATGTGGACGTCGTCTTTTTCGGGCGATCTGGCTGTACGGGGCGACCGCGTTTTGGTTGCTGTTGCTTCCAAACATGTCACTCGCTTGCTTAATTCAAACAAGATACGGAGGCACTTATCAGACTGCCCCTCCAGGAAGGTCTTTATATCTTTCCTCATTTGAGGGTATTCTTGGACTTTCGCTGGAATGTCCTCAAAGGTCTTCATCACCTCCTGGAGGAGCGCGTCACTCGGTTTCACCGCGTAGTCCTCTATATGCTTGTTGTATATCGCCATATTATCCAGTGATCTTCTTTTCCGGTCTGGTCTCCGGATAAAAGTTTTTGCAGCGTCCTGCGCTGGTGCAGATGGGGTTGCAGTGGGGCTGGAGGAACCAGGTTTTCTGGCAGCGCCGGAGGTTGTCGGTGTGCGGTACATTTTTGTATCTGTATGTCTTGTACGCGGATTGTTTAAACAGTGTGTGCGGGTGTGTGTGTTTGTGTAAAGGTGTTTGTGTAGTAGGCCTTGTATATTTAGTGTAGTTAAAAAGCACAGTATATCCACACATACTATGGAGTACAATTAAATCGCAGATAAGCTGTCTTATGTTATAATAACAACAGCTGTGGGGCACAAATGATCAGTAGTAATAGAATGTAAAATATATGTAGTTTTTTGTCTATGTATCGG